TTTGAACCCAGCCTGGATGACTTAGCAAATTAGTGAGTCCCTGTCTCAAAATTCAAAATTTAGTACCGAGGGTTGAACTTGGGACCTTGCGTTTTCGAGGCAGGCACCGGAACCACTGAGCTAAATCTCCAGCCCAAAATTCAAAATTTAAAAAGGGCTGAGGATGCAGCTCAGTGCCAAGGCCCTGGCTTTAATCTCTAGTACTGTAAAAAAAAAATATGATTCCAGCATGCTATGAACCTAGGAGTCCATGCACATGACCCACTGCAGCCCAAATTCCAGTACCAGGCTGGCATCTGCAGCGTTTCTAAGGAAACTCCTCGATTGTTAGGCCTTGTTCCTCTCAGGGCACCCTCTTGCTGGTTTGTTTCTTGCTGATAACACGATCAGGAAAAGAAGGTAGGGGTTTGATTTAGAACTTTCTTTCTTGTTTTCTTTTTGGTACTGGGGATCAAACTCAGGTCCTTCCACTTTCGAGGCAGGCAGCAGAACCACTGAGCTAAATCCCTGGCCCGTCTTTCTTTCTTCCTTTCTTTCTCTTTCTTTCCTTTCTTTCTTTGCTCTCTCTCTCTCTCTCTCTCTCTCTCTCTCTCTCTTTCTTTGGTTTTTTGAACAGGGTCTGGGTATGCAGCCTTGGATTACAGGCATGCGCCATCATACCCAGCTGGATGGGCCCCTTAATGCCTTTTCTTTGGCCCTTTGGTGTTGATAAAACAATTTGAATTTTTTTGAGACAGGATAGTTTAGGCTGGCCTTGAACTCACTATGTAGCCCAGGCTGACCTCAAACTCCCAGCAATCCTCCTGCCTCAGCCTCCCAAGTACTGGGATTTACAGACATGTGCTACCACACCCAGTTAACATCAACCAATTTTTAAATGTCAAATCTAAACTGGGGGTGATGGCCCATGCCTGTAATTCCAGCATGTTAGGATGACAAGGTAGCAGGGTTACAAATTTGAGCCCAGCCTGGACAATTTAGGAACTTAGCAAGACCCTGTCTCAAAAAATAAAAATAAGGGCTGGGGATTTACCTCAGTGGTGCTGCACCTGCCTGGCAAGCACAAGGTCCTGAGTTTGATCCCTCGTTCCACACATACACAAAACAACCAAAATTAAAAATTTAAAAGCTGGGGGTGTAGCCCAGTGCAAAGGTCCTGGGTTCAATCTCTTGCTTCGAGTTTGAGGCCAGCCTGGACTACATAATAAATTCAAGGCCAGCCTGAACTGCATAGCAAGACCCTGACTCAAAACAAACAAAATTGAGCCTAATGTGGTGGCGCACACCTGTGATCCCAGCACTCTGGAGGCTGAGGCACAAGGATCACTGAGTTCAAGACCAGCCTGAACTATATGAGACCTTGTCTAAAAAGAAATTGATTTCACATAAAAATGCCTGATTCCTTTGGAAAAATCAGATTAGTGGCAACAAGCTCAAGTACCCACAGGAAACAGCACCCATTACAAAGTGGAACACAGGCACTTGGGTGGCCTGGTCACCTGCATTCCGCATCATCCCTTCCAGCACTTACCTGACCTGCCAGGTCCCTTGACCACTGGAGTTTTCAGCCTCGGACCTTGAAGGTCGCTAGTCTCCAACCGGCCTTAATGTGCTCTGCTTTCCAAGTGGGACACTTCTGTCACAGGCAAGGAGAGGGAGGATTCAAAGGTATGACAGTTTCCCACCTGAGTGGAGCATACTTTCATTTATGCATGTATGCATTTATTTTTTTCAGACAGGGTCCCACTCTGTTGTCCAGATTGGCCCTGAACTCACTATGTGGCCCATGCTGGCCTCAAATTTACAGCAATCCTCCTGCCTCAGCCTCCCAAGTGCTAGGATGACAGACCTGCACCACCACGCCTAGCAGACTTTTTTTTAATGTATCGCTCCAAAAGGATGGGTAGGGAGGGCTCCATTCCCACAGGATTCCTTCTTCAGGCCCAGCCAGCTCCTTCTAGAAAGACCTCTGGTCTGTCTTTATTTCCTAACAAGTGCTCCTTTGCCCCTCCCCCTGTATCTTGGTCATCTAAGATGGGGGCCTGTGGAGCTGCAAAACTGAGCTCTTGTTGTGCTGCACAGGGCCAGGGGAAAGGGAGACTGCAGAAATAGGTGGAGTGCTGAGCAGGTCCTCCGAGGATCTTCCACTCCTTCAAAGGTGTCCAGTGACTGCGTGCACCACCCTGGGTGGCCTCCTGCTGCTCTTTTTTTCCCAGCCCTGTCTGGCACAGTTGGCAATGATCTACTGATAACAAGACCGCTTCCCTTGTGTCCCATAGTATGGACTTTTGGCTCCAAAATTCCTGTGATTTGCTGATGGGAATCAAATCATCGCATGAAACGTGTCCTCTCAGGGTTTGATGGGACCTTTGGAAGTCACAGCTGTTGTTTGTTCTCCAGGGCTGCACACCACGCAGGCAGCAGGGTCAGGCTTGAACCCCTGCTGGTCCTCAGCCCTCCTCTGCTGCAGGTCACCAGATGGGCTGAGGGCTGGGGATGCAGACAGGGCAGCAGCACTTAGGAGTAGGGCGCATCACTGTGGGGACCTGGGGATTTTGGAACTCCTGCTGAGAAGCCAGTAAAGGTCTGGTCTGGAGGCCTCTTCAACAAAAGACCCATGTTTGGTTTTTTGGCTCCAGGATTTTCCAAGCCAAATTACCAAGCTCATCTTTTTTTGTTCTGGGGCTGGGGATCAAATCCAGGCCTCGTGCATGCTAGGCAAGCCCTCTACTGTAGGCTGCACTCCAGCCCCAGTCCCCACACAGCCCCTGCCCCCTTGGAGAAAGTCTTGGTAAACTGTCCAGCCTGGTTGGCCTTGAACTCCCATCCTCCTGCCTCAGCCTCTTGAGTAGCGCAGAATTCGATTTTCATGGAGCACTAATTAACCTTCCAGGGCTCTGCTGCCTTCCTCACCTTTCTGTTGCTGTATCTGAATACCACGGGCCGGGCCATTTGTGCAGAAAAGACCTCACTCCACTCATGGTTCTGAAGGCTGGGGTAAGAGCCTCTTGGTCAAGGGGACTCCACACAATCCTGAGGGGCCCAGGGCCAGTATAGAGAGGAGGGGTGACTTTAACAGAACTGGTCCTTAGTTCCCGCCCAATGCCAGTCACATCGATGGGCTGTGGGCTGGGGACAGAGCCAGAGCTAGCTGGACATGGTGCCACACACCTATTAATTTTTACCTACTCTGGAGGCTGAGGGAGGAGGATTGCCTCAAGTTCAAGGACAGTCTGAGCTATAAAGCCAGACCTTATCTCAAAAAAGAAAAAAAGGGGAGTGTTGCTCAGTACTGTAGCACCTGCCTAGCAGGTGAGAGGCCATGGGTTCAGTTCCCAGTTCCGCCAAAGAGCAAAGACAGGACCAAGCTACATTTTTTTTTTTTTTGTACCAGGGATCAAACTCAGAACCTTGAGCTTGCAAGGCAGGCAGTGCTACTGAGCTAAATCCCCCGCCCCTGGACCAAGCTACTTTTTGTAACAACCCTGCTCTTAGGATAACCCATTAACCCACTAACAGATCAACCCGTTCATGACACAGGGGCCTGATGGCACCAAAGCCTCTCAAGTCCCCACCACTTAGTCGCAATAGGGTTTAATTTCAACATGAGTTTTGTTGGGGACATTCGGACCACACCTGCCAGCACATCTTGGGAGATGCTGGTGCCTGGGAAAGAACATGGGTTCTGAAGCTTGCTCTGGCTCCCAATTACAGGCCTAGTGGTTTGGGGAAATTACTTCATCCTTTTCTCCCTGATGGAGGTGAGGTGGTAAGACCTGACCTGCCTCATTATAGGGGTAACATGTGGGGGAATCTGGGAGTCTGGAAAACAGATTCGAGGCTCCAGAGCTGTGGACCAAGTCAGGAGCCAGGGGTAGTGCCATGAATCTGTGCTTTCTGCACGTAGACCCATAGCCTGCATTGGGGAGCCACCTCTCGTGGTCTGCCCCGCAGCAGGTAGCTAAGGAAAGGCTGGAGAGAGGAGGGGCTGTCGTGGGGGGCTTCCAGGACTAGATCACCCAAGTTAACATTAGCCCACGTCTAAACACAAATGGCAAAGGCAGCCAGGTAGCTTAGCTCAGATACACTAAGTCCCCAGCGGTCTCCTGCAGTGCTTGGCCATCCCAACCCTCCAGGGGCTGTAAGAGGTCAAAATTCCACCACTCCACATTGGTCTGGCAGGAGACAAACCTCAGACCAATCCCTAATCCCACCCAAACCCCAGGGCTTAAACCCCTCAGCACCGAATCCCTAGGGGGTGAGCTCCTCCCTGTGGAGTGGATGAGTCTTTGCTCCTTCCCCTGCATCGTGGATCCTGCTGTGACTCTTGGCTATCCTGCTCAAGAGGACACCAAGAACCTGGACAAGATCCCAGCCCAGTAACCTCAGCACAGTGGCAGGCCAGCGAATGACTCAGGCAGGGACACAGGGATTGGCTGCGACACAGGCCCAAGACCTTCAGGTGTGCGTCCAGGGCTCTGTGGGTTGCAACTCCGAGTCGATGTCCTCTTTACACACAGAGACTCACATCACAGCTCAGCACAACCTGAAGACCAGGCCCAGGACTCTGCCAACAGCACCATGTGCTGCCCAGGCCTGTTCACGCCCCACACAGATCGCCTGGAGCCTTTACAAACTGCCTGTGGAGAATCTATCACACAGATAGGAAACCAGCCTAGAGGGGCCTAGGGATCTGCCTGATGCCACAGCTGAACCATAGAACCAGATTGGGATATGCTTTGATGAATAACATGCTAGGCTAGGGGCCAGGGATTTAGCTCAGTGGTTCCACCACCTGCCTTGCAAGCACAAAGTCCCGAGTTCAGTCCCTGGTACCAAAAAAATAAAAAATAAAAAAATAACATGCTAGGCTAGGTGATGCCGAGATAGGAGGATCACTGAGAGTCAAGGCCAACCTGGGCTATATAAGGAGTTTGAGACCAGCCTGAACCACATAGGGAGACCATCTCAAAAAACCAAAACAACAAAAACAAAACCCAAACAAAAAAAGCCACAAAACTTTATTCCATTATGATAGCTTATCTAATCTTCCCCACCACTTGCAAGTGTCCATGTCTGTGTCCAAGGTCATTTCTACACTGGCAGTGGAACTTGGCTGGGAAACGGCCCACCAAGGTCTGCAATGTAACCAGCAGTGGTACAGTGAGGTGGGGGTGAAAGGTCACCCCAAGAAGGTGCTGGGGACAGCTCTCTGCCACCAGCAAAGGGAAGAAACTACAAACTAAAACCCCAACAGTCACATTTCCCTAACAGTTCCTCCAACAACAGTAAAACAAAAGGCAAACTCAATGAGATTTGGCAAAGGTTTTTTTAAACTTTAAATTAAAAAAATTCTCACATGGAAGAGATTCAATTTAGGTGCTCTGAGGAAATATTAAAGTTAAAAAAAAAAACAACAGACCCCCAAATGATAAAACATTGATGTATCCTCCATAAAAATCTGGCCTACACTTAGTTATTCATGGCTATTCAGTATTCAGAGCACAAGGAGACATACCAAAGTATAAAAAAATAAACAAAAAAAAGCCAAGCCACTGACATTAAGTCAATGGCCTGGGCACGGCCCTGCAGCCACTGTGTGTGGCCCTCTGGTCCCGAAGAGCGAGGCCTCAAAGCTCCTCCTTGGTCCTGCTCCACTTTGTGCTGTGTTCATCTACGAACTTGCTCAGGTGCTCCAGGTCTCTGTCCCCGCCCTCAAATTTAATCGGGTTCTTTTTGTCCCCGCTGGGGGCAAAGTAGATGGTGGGGAAGCCCTCCACCTTATAGTGCTCGCTGGGGACATCGTTGGCAGTGGCATCCATCTTGGTGATGACCAGGCTCTTCTGGCCTTTGTACTTCTTGGCCAGGCTGGTATAGATGGGCTCAAGCTGCTTGCAGTGCCCGCACCAGGGTGCGTAGAACTCAATGAGGACATCTTTCTTCGGGTCCATGACGATGGTGTCAAAGGTCTTGCCCACCACCACCTTGACTGGCCCCTTGTTGTTCTTGGGGACTGGCTGGGATTTGATAACTGGCTTCAGTTTTCCTGCCAAGAAGAGTAGGGAGAGGAGGGGCTGTCAGTGCTGGAAGGTCAGGGGCCTGGTGGCTCTACCTGGGTGGGAATGTGACAGCTGAGGGGGACAGGGTGGCCCTTGGAGATGGGCATTGTTCCCGCCATAGGCACCATTGTGGATAACTTGTATCTTCTACCCTCCTCATGCCTGCAAAGCCAGACAGGTTTGCTCATCCTCCATCAGGCACCACAGAATGCTGTCGTGGCCAATGTGGGGAACAATAAATCTACTGTGGAGAACATCAAATCAGGTTTTCCACAAACATGAAACTTATTTTCAAATTCAAATGCCTGTTTTAAGGAGTTTTAGCCAGGCATGGTGATGCAGGCCTGTGATCTCAGCACCCTAGGAAGCTGAGGCAGGAGAATCACAAATTGGAGCTCAGCCTAGGTAATATAGTGAGATCCTATCTTGAAAAATAAATGGCTGGGAAGGTAGCTCAGTGTGAAGGCCCTCGGCTCAATCCCCAGTACCACAAGCAAAAGAAAACAAGAAACAGAAAAGCTTTCCTTAAAATTTCTAAACAGCCAGGAATGGTGGCACAAACCTACAATCCCAGCACTTGGAGGCTGAGGCAGGAGGATCACTCCGAGTTCCAGGCCTGCCTGGGTTACATAGTGAGTTCAAGGCCAGTCTAAGCTACATAGCAAGAACCTGTTCTCAAAAAACCAAAAATTTCTAAGATATGCCTGCCTTTTCTAAAGAAGAAAAGAACTGGGATTCTTTGTGTTTACCACACCAGCGCTCAGGTCCCGGAGCAGCAAGCAAGGTCAGGCTCAACACAACGAGGCACTGCCAATAAAGACGCTCTGAGCCAGGCTCTGAAGCCACTGGAGGCTCAGCTTTTCCCCAACTCTGCCCTGTGTCTGGGTGGCAGCTACAGCTGCTCCTCTAATCTAATCTTTTTTTTTCTTGGTACAAGGGATCAAACTCAGGACCTTGCGCTTGCAAGGCAGGTGGCCGAACCACTGAGCTAAATCCCTGGCCCTCCTCTAATCTAATCTTGATTTCAACTTCTTGAGGCTGATGCTAAATAAGTCCTAAGCTGGACCTCAAATCTTGCTCTGTTTTCAAAGGAGTCAAATGAACTGCGGAAAGGAAAAGAAAAATTCCAAACCTGCTCACAAGTGTTCTGAAATTTAGCTAATTTGGTGCCATGACATTTGAGGACAAAAGTCAAAGTGACTGGGCTAATGCCCCCCACCCCACTCACCCTTTTTGAAAGCTGTGACGAAGTCCCGAAGGGCATCCGAGTCGAACTCCTCAGGTTCCATGGTGAACTTGCGCCCGCCCTCATCCAATACGGCCGCGTTGATGTCCTCACCACTCTCGCTGAGCCCCAGGTCCTTCACCTCTGTGGCGTAATCCTCCTCATCAGCGATGGCAAAGGTGTACTCCGGGAAGTCCTTTGCCACCTCCAAGACCTTGCTCCGCCAGAACTGAGTGGCTGGAAGGGACCAAGCGCCGTAAGCAGAGCTCAGACCCTGGGCTGTGAAGGCTTGCTGCTAACATTCTCTGGAGGCACCAGGCCTGGACAGACCCTGACCAGCAAGGGAGCCCTGCAGACAGCACCAGGGCCATGGGGACAGGTGGTCTTGCCCTGCAGCCTCATCTGTGAGGGCCTTGGGCTCCATGCTAAGCTCCCCTCTTACACAAAAGGGAAGGGGAAAAGGGGGGATTGGCCCGAAGCCCTAGCAACACTACCCCTGTGCCACTGACCTGCAGGGACCTTGGGGCAAGATCCCTAACGTCCAACCCCAGCACTAGAGGCCCCCTCACCAGCACGGTAGTCGAAGCTGAAGTCTACGGTGTAGTAGACGACCACCAGGGGGCGCTTGGCATAGCGCTTGGCATCGTTGGAGGTCTTGCGGTGGCCGACCAAAGGCAAGGCGTGCTTCACCACGTGGTCCTTGATGACTGATGCCTCAGTGGAACCCTGTGTCAGACAGGGCACAGGTGACAGTGGGCCTGATACAATGGGGCTGTAGCTGACACGTCTCTCGTGGTCACTACTATCACACTGAAGGAGGGACAGTGGGGACAAGGGGCTACCGAATCTCAGGAGGGCAGGTGCTAGGCTGGCCCTAGTGAGCACCTCCCAGGGGTTCCTGGGTCTCCTGGGCTCCGCTCCCTCCAGGCAACACCAATTCGCTTCAGCTTCATTCCAGGGTGGGGCAGAGCTTCCCTCTGTGCCATTCTCCAAGCCAGGAAAAAAACTGCTGAAGAAGCCTGGCTCTCAATGACAAGCCACTGAGGCAGGCATACTGGGCAGAACTTTAATCTTCAGAACTTCAACCTCAGCCCCAGAAGGAGCATCTCACAGGAGAGTGAGGCGTGGCCCTAGCTTGCAGGCTGGGAAGTGGCCAGAAGAGGCTCTGCACTGTGACCAACCACATCCCCGCTGGACTCTTCCAGAGATCAGAGTCAGGGCCAGACCAGGCTTTGAGCTCCTGAGCTGCCACCTGCTGGGACTGTCCCCCTCTGTACAGTCGTCTCAGTGTCAGACAATCCCAGCTCTGATGGCACCCATGACCAGCTGGGCACAGTGGTGGTTACAATGGGGACACAAAGCTCAGACCCTTCACACATTACCCTTGACCATGAGGGTTGACACTGCCATCTCCACTTTCCAACTGGAAAAACTGAGGCACGGTGAGGGTAAGCTGCTTGCCCAAGGCCACACAGCTAGAAGGGGCAGGTGGACACTTGAGCCTTGTGTGGGAGCAGCAGGCATGCAGGGGAGGACCTGGTCTGGAGACAGTGGCTGGGTGGGTGGCATGTGCTGGGAAAGCAGGCAAGGGGACCCTGCAGGCTGCACGAGGCACAGATTATGCCCAGGGGTAGGGGCCACGGGAATCTGATTACAATGCTGCCCAGAAGGGAGCTTCACTTGGAAGGCAGAATCAGAGGAGAGCAGCATGCAGTGTGTGTGGATTATAACTGGTTTTAAGAGGGCTGGGTCCCTCCCGAGTCCACTGCTGCTCACACAGCTGTCCTGGGGGTACACATCCCACGGGGTCCCCACCAGGACCCCTCTGTGGACCCTAAGTCTATGTCTCTGTTGAACAGAAGCAGGAGGGAGGAATCACAGCAGCCACTTAAGCCCAGGAAGAGGAGTCCAGAGCCCATGCTGAGAGCAGCAGATGGCGCGCAGACAGTAGCCAGGATGAAGGACCAGGGGAGGGGGACAGAAAGACACAGGGCGGTACGGTCTCACCAGGGCTCCACAGTGCTGTCTGCACGGCTGCTGCCCTGGCACTCACCACCTCTTCCTCTCCCCCTGCAGCTCCCATGAGTCCCCAGCCCAAAGAGCAAGGGCTGTGGCACCCTGGGGCAGCTTGGAGCACGGGGCACCTGCATTTCCACCCAGCTCTGCTGCGAACGCAGTGGAGCCCCAGGCCGAGCCCCAGGCCTGGGCAGACAGAAGCTCCCAAGTCACTGCCGCAATTCCTGCTCATTCTGAGCATATGTGCCGAAGCCCTCGGAACGCTGCATGGGCCAGGCTCAGCCCGGCTGGAACCCATGCAGCCGTCTAGATCTGTGCACCACATGCTCTGGTCAGACAAGGCAGGCTGTCTGTCTGGGTGGGTTCAGTGCCAACAAAGGCCAAGTCCATGAAACAAGCTCAACAGTTCCATGCTGGGACCAGAAAGGACCTGCGACTGTGTCCTGGGGATTTCCAGGCCAAATCCATGGAGGAGTGGTACTGCAGAGCCTGGAGCTGGCTGCCGGGAGGGCCAAGGGTCAAGGACCTAAGGTTCGCAGTCCCCAACCTCACCCCTCCTGCAAACCCAGATAATGCCACATTGGCTGTGCTCCCATCTCATGCCTTCAAAGCATCGGCAGTGGGGACAGGGGCTGGGGAAGCTGCTGGCTCACAGTGGCCCGAGGGCCCTTGCTCACCTCAACACTCAGCACGTGGCTCCGGGGCTCATACTTGGACTGGAACTTCTCAGGCTGCATGACAACCAGCTTCCCTGGGAACACCTTCAGGAACTTAGCGATTTCATTGCTGAAAGTGTGGTGAAATTTGTAATCTTCTCTCAGGTTGTTAGCTGGTAAGTTAACAGATACAATGAAAGTTAACAGAAAAATATAACGCAGTTTACTCAATTGCTTCTCTGACTAAGGTTCACCTCATTTCCCACCTTGGCCAAGGCACACACTCAGAAAACTGTGGCTGATGGGTAAATTCTTCGGGAAGTGGCCAAGGGCTGACATCTGGAGGGAGTTTGTTATTAAACACTCACCGAAGTGTAGCACCTTAGCCCTGTGTCTTGGACTTCGTCAGAACAAAACCTAGTCAATGTTCACAGACAACCTCAGCCAATTTGCCAACTGCTGCCTCCAGTGACGTGCAGCACAGGGACACTGAGGCCCATGCATGTTGTAGAGGACATCCGAGCATCACACATCCCTGCATGCCTGTGCCAAGCTTTCACAGCCAGTGCCCTTGTGGGCCCCGAATGCAGTTCTTTTTTAATGCAAAAGCCCTGGCCTGGGATTTAGCTCAGTGGTTCCACCGCCTGCCTCGCAAGCGCAAGGTCCCGAGTTCAATCCCTGGGGCCAAAAACAAAAAAAAGCCCTGCTGGCTGAGGTTTCTCTCTGCAAGCTTCCTCCTGACTCATCAAGAATGGATGACAAGGGCCGGGGATTTAGCTCAGTGGCACTACATCTGCCTTGCAAGCACAAGGTCGGTCCTGAGTTTGATCCCCAGTGCGGGGAGGGGGGATGGATGACATGAGGGAGAAAGGGACAAGAAAAAAAGTGAAAATAGAAGGAAGAAATGGAAACAAAGCTTTTGGATGTAGGGAGGAGAGGAGGCTTAGGGGGAGGGAAAAATTTATTAAAAAAAAACAAAGAAAGAATGGATGACGAACAGCTGGGTGCCACTCGGGAGGCTGAGGAAGGATTGGGAATTTGAAGTCAGCCTGGAGTACAGTGAGACCTGTGTCCAAACAAAACAAATCAAACTCACCCAAAAGTACGACAAGGTCACGTAAGCAATGAAGACCAAAGAAATGTGGACTGAATGTAGCTGAGCTCTTACATTTTATTACAATTCTAATATGCACCTGACATATGCACATTTGTCATTGTGTCACATAGAAAATAGTGCTAAGTGGCAACAGTGTGTTTAAAAGCTTCTAAGCAGCACTTTAAAAGCGACCATTGTTGGCTTGCTTCTCCCACAGCAGGACCAGCATTTACAGGCACTCTGCTGAGCGCTTCACCAATGTCACCCCACCCACTATGACAACCTCCTGGGGAAGGAAGTCCACTTCTTAGGCACCAGACACCAGGCTGGAATCATGGTCGTGGCCATGATGCTACAGACTGACTGGCAGAGCCTGGCCTGGAACCCAGGCCAAGTCAGGCCCTCGATCCATGGTCAGACCACCTGGATGAGTGAGACCCCTGCGCTTCCTCTCAGAGGGCAGGGAAGATGGCACAGTTAGCCTTGCCCATTCACCATCCATGAACCCAGCCCCAGCCCCAGGGTGCAAAGCCACAGGTGCCTCAGGAGACGCTTCTAGTGCCTTCCGCAGGGCCAGCACTTACCCGCATCCTGATACTGCTGGTAGGCAGGGTCACTGTCCCCCTGGAAGACCCCAATGATGACAACATCATCCCCGTCCTTCAGGAACTCCTGGACCTGCTTCAGGCTCTGAATCTCCTTGGAGGGAGGCCCCGACTGCTCGATCATGTAGTCCACAATGCCTGGGAGCAGAGCACAGGCCTGAGGGGGGGCCTGGGGCTGACCCGCCCCCAAGCACAACAGGGTGTCACCATTCTGCATTCAGCAGAGCCGGACACTGCCTACCATATTTCTCCCGTGGGCCATTGTAGTCAAAAGGCCTTCCCTTTCGGAAGATTTTCAAGGTGGGGTAGCCAGAGACGTCGAATCGCTTGGCCAGGTCCGTCTCCGCAGTGGCATCGACCTTGGCCAGAGGGATCGGGGGAGAGCGCTTGCTCAGCTCCTTGGCAGCCTTCTCGTACTCGGGTGCTAGCTTTTTGCAGTGTCCACACCTGCCGGGAGGAAGCTGCTCTGTCAGGGCCCTGTCCTGGGGTAGGCGCGTCCCCAGTCTGGCAAACCTGGGAATGCTGCTTCGGGGACAGCACTGGGCTGGGCCCTCAGGGACCCCAGCAGGAAGGTGGGTGCATTCTGCCACACACACTCTCAGGGGGTGTGCATGTGTACACACATGCATATTCATGCGTCCAGACAAGAGCATCAGGGACCGGGCCCCAGAGTGGAAGAGTGGGAAAGGCCAAGAAAATGCTAAGAAGGGAGAGGATTTTCTTGGTCAGAGAGCTGGCAGCTGGCAAGGGTACAGCGTGGGCGGCTGCGGAGAAGAAACTACAGCTTTCTGTTCGGCCTGTCGGTCACATTCCTGATTCAAAACTCCCTGGCTTCTAATCCTGCCCTGTGCCAGCCCCCACCAAAGCCCCCACCCAGACAGCCCAGCACCACAGGCTCTGTCCTGAAAAGGCAGACGGCCTCACCTTACCGAGCTGTCCCCATGCAGGTCACATGCCTGCTCCACGAGGCCAGATGACAGCAGCCACTTGGGTCCACAAGCTTTTGGGAGCCTCATTGCACAGAGAAGCTGGCTGCACCTTCTGTTCCTTCTGGCATCTTCTCTTTTAGTTCCTTGCCCCCATCCCAAGAAAGGATACCCTGTTTCCTTCTATACCTACTGCCCTTGTGGCTCCTGGACATTGCCCTCCTTCCAGAAGACCCAGCCCCTCAACCTCATCCACCATCCTGTGTGCGCCTCGCCACCCAGACCCGGTGACACGGACCCACCTCATCTTACCATGGGGCATAAAATTCCACCAGGATGATGTCAGCATCACTCACAACTTCATCAAAGTTCTCTTTGGTCAACACCAGCGTGACTTCAGGTGGAGGCGTCCAGTTGGGCTGGGAGACTTCTCTGACCTTGGCAACAATTTCTGAAACAAGCAAACGAGACTGAGCACACGGAGACCTGAGCTGGCAGGTTAAGGCCAGTGGCCACTCCAGAAGCTGGCAGGGAGGAAGAAGAGGCAAGGTCACAGGACAGCAGGAAACATGTGACTTCCTGAAAGCATGTTCAGGACTGCGACTCTAGCCAGGGACACACCTGGGCAGGTTTTTGTTTTGTTCTGAGGTACTAGGAATCGACCCCAGGGGGCTCTGCCATGGAGGCATGTCCCAGCCCTTTTTTTGAGATAGGGTTCTGCTAAGTTGCCCAGGCTAGTCTTCAGCCTGTGATCCTCCTGCCTCAGCCTCCCAAGCAGCTGGGATTACAGATATGCACCACAGTTATGAGGACAAGGGCTAGAGGGTTGCCATTTCCAATGACTGTCTGTGGCATTTCCTCTGCCACTCATATAACCAGTGGCCTTCTCTAGATGGCATAAGCCTACTTCAGTGACTTCATTTTCATGCCACTCACCAACTGCAGGTAGACTTGGATGGTCCTCAGTACAAGACCAAAACAATTCCCTCCAAAACCAAAACTCTCACTAGTGCTTCTTAGGAACTCTTAACTGCAAACCCCTTCCTCAGGGCCAAGTCTGAGAACCAAGCCTGCAAACTAGGAGTGCACAAGGCACCTTTTCCCACCCAGCACAATTCCTGCCACAAACTCCTGGAGGCTGGATCCACCTTTCCTGAAGAGGCCCATTTATTACAACATGGGGTGGGGGGGGGGTGGCAGTGCGGCAAGGCTTCCACAACAACAGGCTGGGCCCTCGCTGCCTAACACTGAGGCCAGATGCCAAATACAGGCGCCCTTTTACTTACCTTTTTTTTTTTCTTAAATTCTTTTATTGGTACATTTTAGGTATACAATAATTTACATTTATTTTGGGTGCTTGTACCTGTACATGATGTATCTTGGTTCTTATTTTTTTCCCCATTACCTGTGCGCCCTTTACCCCTCCACCCTTCCCTATTTACATACTTCGTTTCCATTTTTTTTTCCTCATAATTTTTCCTTTCCATTCTTTCCTTTCCCCATCTCCTCCCACCACCACTACACCTTTGGACCTTTTCCTATTTCAAAGTATCAATTATTAGTTATTAATCCTTTTAGTCCTTATTTACACTCTCAGTTTCTCACACTAGAGAAACTATCTGGTATTTACACACATGTGTCCTATTTATTTCACCTAAGAGTATGGCCTCAATATGCATCCATTTAGCTATAACGCCCATTTACTTTCAAAGACATGCTCCCTGTGACCTGTTTTTCATTTTTTTTTTCACAAAGTATTTATTGAGAACTTACCACAAGCAGAAAAAAAGCCAGGGTATGGAGGGGAAAAACGCAAACAAGAACATAGGCTGTAGGGCCGGGGATTTAGCTCAGTGGTGCCACCACCTGCCTCGAAAGCACAAGGTCCCAAGTTCAATCCCCAGTACCAAAGAAAAAAAAGAACATAGGTTGTAATACATTGTGATGAGGGAAACAGGTGATGAGTTGGAGAAAAACAGGAAGTACGGTGGACAAGGCCACTATTTCCACGGTGACATCTGAGGAGACATGCGGCTGACTTCCGAATGGGGAGTAAGGATGGTAGGCTGAGGCATGGCTGGTCAGGTGAGGGAGGAGTGGAAAGGGGCCGAGAGACTAGGTTTACTTCCAAGTGTTAAGAAAAACCACTGGAGGGTTTTAAGCAGGCCTCACAAGTGCAAGGTGCTGAGTTTGATCCTCCGTATCCCGCCCCCCCAAAAAAGGTTAACACGAAAAAACAAAAAAATACAATCACCCTGGAAAGTAAAAAAATCACTTTTGCTATAAGTTGGAGAACAAGTTGTAGGCAGTAAAGAAGGGCGGCAAGAGGACCACTTAGGCTGAGGACAGGAAGCGAGGAGGTGGCCCAGACTGATGGACAGGAGAATGGTGTTAGGGGTTGTTTTGGAATTAGGCAGGAAGATGGGGAGGACTTGCTAAGAAGGGAAAAGGAAGGGGCCGGGGGTTTGGCTCAGTGGTTCCGCCACCTGCCTTGCAAGCGCAGGGTCCTGAGTTCCATGCCCAGTAACCCCCCCCAAAAAAAAACCACAAAGGGAGAAGGACAACAGACTTGGTTCTTGGTGTCACCTTAATTCTTCGACTGGGGCTGGAAATCACCAGGTGAGTAGGTCATGTCCATAACACAAGTCCATAAGATGTCCCAGGTCCTCCCTAGAATCTGGAGCTCATGGGAACGTCCCCGACTGGAGCTGTTTCTGGATATTATTTCTACAGGGGCCTGTGACCCGTCATTAGATTTAGTTCCCTACAGACTGATATGGCAAAGCCATTTATTAAACAGAGGGGCAGAATGGTGTTTAAGATGGTAACAGTCATGTCATCAGAAAAATCATTCACACACACACTTGCTTCTTTCTTTTGTAAACAAAGTATCTCTCAAGACCACAGAGGAATCTTCTGATACAGGCTGCCTTCCTGGAGGGGAGCTGGGGCTCCCAGGGCCAGGGGAGAAAGACCACTCATAAATGTACATTTCCCATCAAGAAGCACAGTGAGTGTCACCTGGCCATCAGACCCAAGAAGGGACTGTGAAATTCAGCATCAGTGAGGTGCCCGCCCTCACAGTCCCGCTGCTGAACCGAGACTCAAACAGACTCAAAGGGATTCTGAGATAACATCCAGCTGACCTCAGAAGCCCCAGCAAGGGGGAAGGTGCTGCTCCAGGCCATGAGCCTAGTTTGTGGCTGTGTCATAACTGGGTGAGGCGGCACATGTCTGTACTCCTAAGCACTGAGGGAGGCTGAGGCAGGAGGATTGCAAGTTTGATTTCTGTGTGGGCAACTTAGCGAGATTCTGTCTTAAAAAAATAAGGGCTGGGTGTGTGTGTGGCTCAGTGGTAAGAGTTCCTCTGGGTTTGACCCCCAGTATAAGGGGGGAGGGAGATCTGAATCCACTCAATGTTCTTTCCCACCATTCCATGCTGGGAACAGAAAATGCAGCTGTCACCACCCCCCACTGAGGATCAAACTTAGGGTCTTCAACACTGAGCTTTATCCCCAGTTTTCTATTTTTGCTTTTTTTTTTTTTTAAGACAGGGCCTTGCCTTGAAGTTCAGGCTGGCTCTGAACTCACTATGTAGCCCAGGCTGGGCTCAAACTCTCAGCAATCCTCCTGCCTCAGCCTCCTGAGTGCTGGAATTACAGGTGTGTGCCACCATGCCTTTTCTGAATTTTTAATTTTGAGACAGGATCGCTCTAAATCACTAAGGTGCCTAGGCTGGGCTCATATTTGCAATTCTCCTGCCTGAGCCTCCCAGATGGCTAAGATTACAGGTGTGCCCTTTTCCCCCCTTTTAAACTGATTAAAAGAGACACACCTTCGCTAAAGAAGATCATGATTTTATGAAACAGAAGGCCTAGCTCAACCCAGGCAAAATCCACCAGTCCCAAGTGTAGACCCGTCTTGGTGCACAGCCTGGCACCATAGCACTGGCAGACCCCAGGCACTAAGAAATGCCAGTCATCCGACCTAACTTGAAACTCACTGAATCAGAGACTCTGGGTTAAGGCGCAGCAGGCTGCCCAAGCCCTCCAGACACACACTGAGCACCAAGCACCCCTGCTCGGGACCACACCAAGAACTGTGTGCCTCCTTTCTTACAGCTTTGCTCCAGATCCCGAGTGTCAGTGTCATGGTCTGGATGTGAGGACACCCTGCCAAGGACGACTCTGGTCTCAGTTACCCTGGGCATACAGCAGAGACCATGCTCCTGGGCTGCTCGCCTTTCTTTCCTTCCTATCACCCAATGATGCTCCCTCGCTTTCATTCCTGGGCCCTGGTGCCTGGTGCCTGGTGCCTCCAACAGCCAGGGCACAGCTCACCTTCCTGGGTCCTGGAGCCCTCGTAGTCGACGGCCTGGCCCTTCTTCAGGATCTTGATGGTGGGATAGCCGCTCACGTCAAACCTGCTGGCCAGCATGGACGCCGAGGTGGCATCTATCTTAGCCACAGGAATTGAGGGGTCGTTATCTTTTAGTGTGCTGGCGATTTTCTCATATTCTGGAGCAAACTGCTTGCAATGTCCACACCTAAGAATTTGATTCAAGGAAGGAGAAACGGGTTAACTGCACCTATGGAGAGTTAAACCGAATGAAACCCATGAGAATGGGGGCTCCAGGAACCATCTGCACCTGAGAGACTCCAATAACCCACAGGGAGAGGCCAAGAGGCCTTTGAGTTAATTAAGCAGGCCCGGGTCTGAATTCCAGCTCCAGCTTGGACAAATCCTTCCAACTCTAACTTGTACAGACTGTTTTCCTGTCATTATAATCTCTAAACAGTGCAGCACAGCACTATGTACATAGCATATGTTGTGTCAGGTTATCAGAAGTAACGCAGAGATGTGTGCAGGTCACATACAACACCAATGCCTACAGGGAACTTGAGTATCTGAGGATTTTGAAGTCCGAGGGGTGGAAGAGGCTGGAACCAACCCACCTTGGACATCAGACACCAAGGGAGGACACATAAACCTGTCAAATCTGGTCCAATAACCACTTCCAAAGGGTCTGTGAGGTCACAATCCTTTCCATTGTCTTTTACCCTCACTGAGTACACAGTGAAAGTTTCTGGACGCTGCCTGGCTTCCAAGGATGGTAGCTGTAGCTGCAGACCTGTAGCAGGTCACTGGGTAAACAGACAGGGCTGGGGGTGGAGCTCAGGAGTATGGTGCTTTCTCAGCATGTGAGGCCCTGGGTTTGATACGCCACAGCACACAAAAGAAAAACTCTTACTACAAATAATAAATACTTTGAGTATCTTTCCATTTTCTTTCTTTTTTATCGGTACCAGGGATCAAACTCAGGACCATGCACTTGCGAGGCAGGTACGGCGCCACTGAGCTAAATCCCCAGCCCCTTCTCTTTTTTTTTTTTTTTTTGAGACAAGGTCTCACTTTGTAGTTCAGGCTGGCTCTGAACTCACTACTTAGCCCAGGCTGGCCTTGAACTCTTAGGGATCCTTCTGCTTCTACCTCGCAAGTGCTGGGATTATAGGCACGCGCCATCATGTCCGAATTCCATTTTCACTTTTAATATAAACTCCCTACCTTCTGATAAATGATACTGAGAAATACTGAAAAACATGACACACAAAAAGTTCTTTGGGGTCTTCAGTTTAAGACTGTTGGGTTGGGGATTTAGCTCAGTGGTTCTGATGCCTGCCTCAAAAGCACAAGGTCCTGAGTTTAATCCCCAGTACAAAAAAAAAGACCGTTAAGAGGATCTGGTGCTGGGCATGATGGTATGTGCCTATAATCGCAACACTCAGGAGGCTGAGGCAGGAGACTGACATGAGTTTAAGGGCAGCCTGGACTACATAATGAGATCCTGACTCAAAATAAATAATAAATAAATAATAAAAAAGGAATCTTGTAACCAAAACAGCATGAAATCTGCTGAACTACAAAACAGAAGTGAGGGCTGGGAGTGTAGCTCATTGGAATAATATTTGCTTAGCAAGCCTAAGGCCCTAGGTTCAATCCCCAGCGCTGCAAGAAAATAAAATAATAAACTTAGCAAAACCAACATTACTTTTCATTTACGATACAACAAAACAGGAGTGAGATGACAACCCACAAACCTATTGAAAAGACTTAGATTTTTTTTTTTTGGTACTGGGGATCGAACTCGGGACCTTGTGTTGGAGCCACTGAGCTAAATCCCCACCCCGACTTAGGTGTTTTAATACAAAACCTGTACTTCGCCAACAGGTGCCAGGGAAGTGACACAAGTAGACCCTGACCATTCTGCGTCAAAAATGAAACGTGGCGGGGGGGGGAGAACGGGAGATGGATGGAAAGCAGCATGGGGGGTGAGGGGAAAGGAACATGACAGTCATCAGGGGCCATCAGGGGCCACATGCCAGGTGACACAGGAAAAGAAGGGGTGCCCGTGTCCCCCAGGCTGGGCATGTGTGAAAAGACATCCCTCAGGTCCACAGCCTGCACTTTGGGCCGCTGGCCTTGGCCTTGGCCTGCCTGGAAATGGGAGGAAACCGCCTTCTGTAAGGCTGGCTCGAGGCTGCCTGGTGCCAGCTGGTGGAAGGTGGACCCCAGCTCCCAGCACCCCTAATTCAGGAGCTGAGTTCCTGCAGCCAGACCCTCCTACTGCTCAGAGGTTGTCCAGCTGCGGGTCTGGAATGCTCATCCTTACCACGGAGCATAGAACTCCAGCAGCACCGTGTCCTTGTCAGCCACAAAGCTATCAAAGTTGGCATCATTTAGGACCAAGACACCATCTTCCTCCTTAACTTCCAAGTCTTCCTCCTCCTCGTCCTCTTCCTCTTCCTCATCTTCCTCCTCAATGGCACTTTCCTTTTCAGAAGAATCTAAGTGGAAAATACACAGGCTGGTTAGAAAACTGGCCACTCTGCCCTGGGAAACTTCCTTAGCCCTCCAAGTTTGAGGCTTGTGTCACCCTAGAAAGTCAGAGCCTGTGCACTGCATTCTCTGTGAGGGAGGTGGAAAACCACTGTTCCAGATTTTAGAGTCCCAATACTGGAGAAGGATGTGAGGGGCAGGGCCAGCCCTCACTTGCCAGAGGCACTCTGCACAGGCAGGGCCACATTACAACCTGCCTGACCACAAACTGCACGAACAGGAACCAGGGCCTTGTTCTCAACCTTCATCTGGGATGATTCTGAAAGGGGTGGCATTTTACACCTCAGCCTCAGAAAAACAGGCCCGTGGGTTTTTATCACATTTTTAGAGCGAAAGACTGAAGAAGGTAGGGAGTCATGTTTTCCTTAGAAAGTCACCTCTGGGCCGGGGGTTTAGCTCAGTGGCTTCGCCGCCTGCTGCGCAAGCGCAAGGACCAGAGTTCGATACCCGGTACCAAAAAAAAGTCATCTCTGAGGAACATCCAGGGTAGAAGACATTTTGAGATAACAACTTGAGGAATTTACGGGGGCAATATGCATCAAAAATATTAAACAAATTATACCTTCGCCTGGAAACAAAGTTTTCCTTCTACAATGCCAGAAACTGAGTATATCCTACTACCAAGTGTAATTCTTTGTAATCCTAGTTTCCCCAGCTACTGTTGCAGCAGTAAACAAAACCATGCACAGCAACACCGTAATTTCATTACTCTGAAGCCAGGCTCTTTCCAGGGGCCAATTACTCTTCCTGGGGCTGCTTCCCAGGAGCTCAATCAACCCTGCTAGCCACTGTGTGGGGCTGTGGACGCCCTTAGGACTGGGGACCCTGGGGAGCTGCCCGTTCTAACAAAGCCAGTGCTGGCTCTGTCGTGCCACTCCCCCAGCATACACTGAGGCTGTTGGGGGTGCGAGAAGCTCTGATCAATCACTACTAAAATCTACCAATGTGCAAACAAATTACAAAAGCCCGTGAGACCCACCTGCACCTCACCCTTGTTTCACTTCGCTCAACCCTTTCCCCTTTCTTTTGTTACCGTGCACACTCCCCATTTAATCCAGGCCTCTGCCCCTCTTTTGTTAGAGGTAGGGGAAATGGCACTAAAACGCCTGTTTCTGTGCAGAAACCAACCAACCTGGCTTTGATTCTCCTGCCCACTGGGTACAAGCCCTGGCGGGGAGGAGAGCTGGGGACCACACTCCCAGGATGTACAGCCTGGGAGACAGCACTGCTTCGGCAGCCCACACAGAATGGGCTTTTGGATAGTGCCAGGAGAGGGTGGATTCCTCACCTAATAGGATAGCATGACAGTGATAAAATCCCCAATTTCTCTGTCCCCAGTTCAAATTTTTTCTAGAGAACTGAGGAGCAGTGGTACTCAGAACATCCTGCCTCGTCTCTTGACACGTTTCTTTGAAAACCTGTGTGAGGCCAAAACACTCATCTCGTTCTGGCACTGTTAACTAAGCCCCAGGATAACTGACCCTGTCCTAGGGCTGGTGGGCTCTACCTGCTCCTTCACACTCACATCAGGCCGAACTCCTCCCGGTCACGCTGGCTGGCAGCCAACCAACACGGCCTGGTCCTCCTGAATCCCAGGAGATCCTGTCTTGGGCCCTCAGGCATCTACCACTGGGTGGCCAGGCTCTGCTGGAGGGACTTCGGAACACCCCTCACTCGAGAGCCCTCAAGTGACCATGCAGAGAAGATCTGCAGCTCACCAAGGAAGCCACAGAACCGACCCCCAAGGAACCTTTATGTTCCTGTGGAAGTGGGAGGTGAGGTGGGGTCTGTGGATCACCCACACCCACCCTAACTGTCTGGCTGCTTCGCCCAGCCAGAGATTCACAGATGGGAAGATTTCACAAATGGGAAGACTGGAGAGAAAGAAGGCCACAGAGGGAGAAGAATTAGGGACCTAATCTGCTTCCAACCTAGGAAACCTCGCTAGGAGAGGAAAGAGAACCAAGTCTGCTCAATCACATAGGTGGAAGATTTACGTTTACAGTGAAGACTCCTAAACTCCAGCCACACAGGTGGGTCTTTTCCAGGTGTGGTGGCATACACCTGTCATCTTGCCACTGAGTGCCACTGAGGAGGCTGAGGCAGGAGGATTGCTGCAAGTTTGAAGCCAGCCTGGGCTACATAGTGAAACCTTGTCTCAAAAAACAAAATAAACCAAAACAAAAAAGCCCTAATGACTTGGACTATGACCTGAAACAAAACTGTTAGACAAGTGACCTGTGATAAGCTGTGAAAAAGGGCGGGCCAGAAATGCCCTCCAGCGTGGGAAAGAAGGTATGAGCTAGACACCTGGCCCCAGGAACACTGCCCTTGGTCAGGACACCTCACGGATTCCTGGGTTCAACGGAGTGGCTACTGCTTCCCAGGGACTCCTGCATGAGTAACCTATGACACACAGGACAAATGTACTGGGCCCAAAGCTCCGGAAGGCCACCCAAGTGTGCCTTTCTCCCAGTTCTTTCAAGAACCCCTCCCTAAAAGACCACTAATCAAAATCTTTCAGCTGTGGTCCAAAAATCACCCAACTACCCTGGCCTTCAAACTTCCTTGTGCCTACTTTATTTCGCCCATGGGAAAAACTGAAAAACCTGCGCATTCTATTTCAGTTATATTTTGGGTCTCTGTATTTATTTATGGGGGGGGGGGGTACCGGAGATCGAACTCGGGACCTTGGGCTTGCGAGGCAGGCGGCAGAACCACTGAGCTAAACCCCTGGCCCCCGGGTATCTGTATTTAAATAGGCACCCCGGTGATTTCGGTAAAAGCACCCACACTTGTGGGCAGCACCGATACCCTTTCCTTTCAGCAGGTGTTTCTTTCTGAGGGCTGCTTTTTACTTCCTTTTCTACTTAGGCAAAGAGTTTTTAGAATCCGTGATCCACACGGAAGTTACTCAATCTGTTTGAACGAGTATAAAGTTCATACTTTCCCTACACACTAATATTGGGAAAGAGGTTTTACTTTTATTGGAATGAACTCGGTAGGTACAAACTACTGGTCAGGAGGTCGGACAAAATGTTAAGACCAGTACTGCACGCCCTGCTCTCTAGGAAGACCAATGTTAACCAGTACTTCCTAATTTTCAGTTATGTTTGCAGCTGCTGAGTAATTTCGAAGAAAAAAAAAACAACACGCAAGGGCGAGGAGCAGAAGCCGAACACTGTTCCTGCTACGACGCTAACTTGGAGGGCAAGGACCACACGCCCAGCGCCACTGCCAGCACCGAGCAGGGGTAAATGCGGACGGAAGGAATGAGAGCTTGGTTTCTACAAAAGCTGCTTCGGTTTCTACAAAGCTGCAACGCAAGCTTCCCTCTCCCTCAAACCAGAACGCCTGCGTTGTTTCCAACTCCACAGATCCGGTTTTGAAGATGAGGCTTGGGCTGCCCCCGGGGCGCACCCAGTAGGGCCCCAACGCTCTCACCTCTCTCTGGAACCTGTATAGGAGACAGTTTCCCGCCTGTCTTTCCACTCTTCTCGGAGTGTCAACTTTTAACCACTTCGGGACTGCCTTTTCCAAGGAGACCCAGGAAGAAACCTGAGCGAACTCGGACGAGGGACGCAGCCCGTCCTCGCAGCGCACAAGGCCCTGGGCTCCTGGTGTCCCCAGGGCGTGACCCCTGAGCCCCACCTCCGCCCTCGTCCTGCAGGAGTCGCCCCGGAGCCCGCACGGTCCCCGGCCACGGCCCGCTCACCTTCGTTCGCCCCGCCGGCGCTCGCCGAGGCCAGCAGCTGCGCCAGCGCCAGGAGCAGCAGCAGCAGGCAAGCTTTCCGGAGTCTCATGGCGACAGCGACTGCGCCCACCTCCTCGCACTCCCCGAGCGCCCGAGCTACGCGGTGCGTAGGCGAGCCCTCCAGGAAGTCAGGCCCGGCGATTGGCTGGGGGCGGAGGAAGCCGCTGCTCCTCGCTCTCGTGCGAGCCCACCCCGCCGCCCAGGCCCTGCGCGCGCCCCTAGGCCGCTAGTTTAAAACTCAGAGCCGTAACGTGAGGTGCCCCCTTCTGATTGGCTGCACCATGACCACCAATCAGCGGCTGCCACTCGGTTTGCGCCGAGCGCACAGGCGGAGAGAAGGAGCAGGGGGGAGAACAAAGGTGGCCGGCCGGCCCCCTGTGGGGCGGGACCTGGTCCGCTTCGGGACCCGATTGGCGGGGCCTTGGTGGGCGGGCCTGGAAGGGCGGGATTGTATGAGCTCCGCTTCCAGCGGCGGAGCTTGGCAAGAAGGACACGTGTCCTTAGTGGGTGTTTTGGCCCCCAGCTAGGGTCGCGGGAGGCCGGAGGGAGCACGAGCCAGTCTGTCTCACGTTTGTGGGCTTTTTGCTGGCTTGAGCGTATAAAAGTTTGCATCTCCAGCCAGCATGGTGGAAGATGCCTGTAATTTCAGCAGTCTGGGAGGCTGAGGCGGGAGGATCGTAAATCTAAGCTCTGCCTGAGCAATTTAGGGAGACCTTGTCTCTAAACAAGAAGGGAAAGGGCCAGGGATTTAGCTCAGTGGTTTCGCCACCTACTCGCAAACGGAAGAACCCGAGTTCGATCCCCGGTACAAAAAAACCCAAAACACCAAACAAACAAGGGAAAAGGGCTGGGGATGCCCCTCCGTACCCCCAGTGTTCAGTACCCAGTACTGAAAAATATTTGCAACCCTTTCCTGGGAATTGGGCGGGTGGGGCCGTGCTGGATGAACGTGCTGTAAAGTAAATCAGGAACTGGGATTGCACAATTTTGTCTACGAGCCGGTCATCAGATTCTTGTCTAAACCTTGCCTCGTGTTATTCTTTCTGTGATTTTCTGCAGAAAAAGAGAAATACTAGATAGGCAATCTAGTGGTTTACATAGATCTAGATATAATCTTGAAGCTTTTTCCTCTTGACAGTTTTGGAGAGGAAAACTAGGTTATGTCAGAAAAGAAGCCTGCGGTGTGTATTAGGGCTTGAGACGTTAAACTCCTGGAGATTAGTATCGTAATGGCAGATTTAGAGTTTGCAGTGTGGCAGCTCTTAGTGGTAGAGCAAGATCAGGCCAAGAAGAATAAAAAACCGCACCGCAGGTTGGAGGCAAGTTTATTACGCCAGCAGACTGATCGGGGATTTCTCCACAAAGCAATCAGCCCTGAGCTGGCAGTGAACAGGGTTTATATGGGCTAAGGGAAAGAGGGTGGGGATACATAAGCAAGGCATTTATCATCAGTTCATTGGTTGAGCAGTTACATTTAGTTTACATGATTTGATAGAAAAGTACACTGGATACAGACACTTCCTGAGAACAAAGGACAATGGAAGACATAGGTGTGGGAGGGGGTTCGAGCTGGGGGTGGCTCTTTTTCAGTTAGGTCAGCTAGCCTTAGGAAAAATCTTTTTGCTCAGAAATCTGGCTCAGTATGTCTGCCAAGTTACTGAAAACAAAAAGGGCAATAAATAAATAAAACTCAAGAGTTAAGTTGTGTTTTCTTCAACATGCAGATTAAGTGAGAAAAAAAGAAAGTGGATGACTCACACATTAACAACTAAGAAACTAATACATTTTCGCTGAGCTTTTATAAATCTGAACAAAAATCTTGCAGGGTAGAAAGTCCATTATGCAACTAGCTTTAACTCCAGAGTGTACACCAAGTGATTTGTTGGAATCCCACCAATGTAGACCATTAGCTAGCTCAATGTCATTTTATAGAAATCTTCAAAAAGACTGAGCCTAGTTAGAATTTTTGTCTTTCTTGGTAGTTTCCTATTAATTTGTACTAAACAGAGAGAAATAAATACCTCGTTTGCCCAGATGTGGAACAAATACAACCAATTTCACTAAGGCCCTCTGTTGATTCAGGTAAGGGAGACCTGTTAAAGTACAATGTATATGTGCGCGCACACACACTTGTGAAACTGCGCCCAGTTTAGAGCATGGCAATGGAAGTTCATTCAGCAGCGGAACGTGACAGCAGTTTGGAAGCGCCTTGTTCTTTGTGTTTCAATCTCCTCTAATCTGGCTTTGGGAAAGCAGGGGCAGGAGCACAGGGAGACAGCACTTCCACAATTATCTCCCAAATCTCCATAATTGCTTGTACAGTGGAGAGGTTGAGGTGAAGTCCCACCACTAGACCCTAGATTGGAGATTCATTCATACAAACACACTTTGCCTTGTCTCATCCCCCAGGGCGGCCAATTAGCACTATTAGGCCAGGCTTATAGGTCAATTTGAACTTGTGTTTTCCTCTACTCAGCACCTCGATCCCTAGAGAGGAGACCAGCGGGGAATTAGTCTTCTCCATCTGGATCATCTCCGGGCAGATCTGTGACAACCCTGGCACTCACATCTGTCATCCCAAGCTGAGCTTACATGGTTGGAAAACTAAATGAGGACCAGAGAGCCAAACAACCTGCATGCTCTGCATGTATGAGGCTTCTTCTCAGTCCTGTCTAGGAATTAAATTACATAAATAAGCAGGCATGGTGGTGCATGCCTGTAATCCCAACACTCAGAAGGCTGAGGCAGGAGGATCATCACAAGTTTGAGGCCAGCCTGGACTACCTAGGGAGACCCTGTTTCAAAAAAAAAAAAAGAAACAATGTCTAGTATTTGCTGGAAAACTCAGATATCCTACCTTCCTTCCCATGATTCTGATTGGTAAGCCTCCTTTCAGAAGAAAGAAGAGCTGAATTCTTCAGAAGTGAATTCTGGAGAAGCCCGACTGACCTCCAATGCTGCTTGACAAAGTTCCAGCTGGGGGAAAAGGAGGGTGGAACACATCGCACCCTCAGGTTTTATTTTTTCTTGCCATGATGTTTACAATTGTTACTCTGGTCACAGGAGTCATTGTGTTTGTGACTAACAACAAACTCTCCATGAGGCAAATTGGCAATGATGTATTGAAATCTGATCTGGCTCAAGAGTCCCAAATTCCTGTTTCTCTCAGTTCTATTGCCACACTCACCTCTAAAGAAACCTCTCCTAAAACCCCCTCTGTTTTCCCGCTATTATAACTCCTTTCTTCTATTGATGACTTTCTTTTTACTAAAGGGGTCTTATAAAGAGACTGAAAGGACAGATTTTAGATGTAAGAAACAGTGGGAAATGGGAAATAGAAAGAAAGTTAAGACAGGTAAATACACTAAGGAGGCAAGTTACTCAGTTTTTCTCAAAGTACTGTAAACATCTCCTGCTCATGGACCATGAACCCAAATAACACTTAAGTAAGATGAAAAGAGGTATAGAAAAAATAGAAAGCTAATAGCAAACTATATTAACCATTGCGCAGTTTCTCAAGGGCCAGCTGATGACCACAAGTTTGACATTTAATTAACTAAATCTTGCTCGTACCCCCGCTGATATAGAGATTTTGATTAAGTTACCTTCTGTTCTGCTTAGGTGTGGGTAAATAAGGGGACAACTGTAATTTTTAAAATGTATTCATGATGTTCAATGAAATGAATCAGCTTAGGAAAAATATACTGTTTAGCAAAAAATAACCTTTACTTCAATAGAAATTGCTAAGGCAACCTAAAATGTAAATATGTTCCGCCCAATGCCTCCTAGCCATTGCTTCAAGATATAAAAATAAATCAGACCCTGAGACTTCTCAGAGGGAACCTGCACATTGCTTGCGAAGGTTCTTTTCTCACTCGCCGGCCCGAGACCTCTCCCCTTCCTACCCTGCATCGACTGCAGCTGGTCTGCGGCAGAATTCATTTCCACAAATCCCTGCTTTTAGCCAGGTACAGTGGTTCAAGTCTGTAGTACAAGCTACTTGGGAGACTTAGGAAGATTGAGTCTAGGAGTTGGAGGCCAGCGTGGGCAAAATATAGACTCTCAATCAACAAGCTAATAGAAAACAATTAAAAAGTACCAGAAATAATGTACATGTAGGGCTTTTACTTGTGACAGGGTCTTGCTATGTAGTTCAGGCTGGCTTTGGACTATGTAGCCCAGGCTGGTCTGGAAATCGTGGCAACCCTGTCTCAGCCTCCTGAGTATTTTTTAAAAAATTTATTTAGTTTTGGTTTTTTGAGACAGGGTCTCTACGCTGGCCTCAAACTTGTGGCGATCCTCCTGCCTCAGCCTCCCAAGTGCTGGGATTACAGGCATGTGCCACCACACCTGGCTTACATGCAGTTTTATATTCTTCATTTTTAATTTAGTATCACATCATAATCACTTATTTTCCCATGCTGTTACCTTATTTTCTGAAGGAACTTAGCTCTCTCCCATAAAGGGCTCACCTTGATTCATGATTACAGACCAAAATGAGGACTGAGGTCATGCTTACAACAACGCTAGCTAGTCAGCAGCTGCCTGATGGTGCCTACACTACGTTCCTTAACTTCCTTCTGTGCCAAGTTAAAGATACCAAATTCAGATTCTATCATCACATTTTAGAATCAATTAAATGAACATTTGAGCACTTACCATGGGATACATATAGTTATGTTAAGCAACTACCTTCGGACACAGTTGTATAAACACATGTGATCATACCGTGTGATAAACACAGGCTTATCACCTTCAACTTTCTCTGAGATATTGTGTAGCTGACCCACCTGGCCAGCCTTTGCCAGGTGCCATGCATGGATAGCCAGCCCATTCCTCCAAGCTTTCCCCACCCATGTGCCACTTGTGAGGGACCTAGACCTGCTACTTCGTTCTCCCTGACCCAGGGGTGAATAAGGATGAATGACAAAAACACAGAGTCAGTTTAACACGAGGGCAGCCAAGGGGCTTTTGCCTCTAGTAGGCAGAGAAGCCCTCATGTCTGGCTCATGTTGCTTTTATTCACCCAAGCACAGGTACAAGCAATTAAAAAACACAAGATTCATCTGCTCTCCAATATCCATTAGTACATGCTCAGGTAAACAACTTAACTTCAGCTGTCTGAACTTTTCCCTAGAACCTGCAGTATGCCACCACCCCTGAGTACAGCCTTTCTCCTTTGTTCTCACAGAGGAGGCCAATTAGACCTTTATTCTCCTTTGGT